TACGCACTCCAACCTTTTTAAGAACACTTTCAATTTGATCTGAGAATATTCTTCATGGTCGTCCTTTTCTATTTGATTCCTTCTCTTGTTCTTCTCACTAAGCACTCCAACCTTTTTAAGAACACTTCTCAATTTGATCTGAGAATGTTCTTCGTGGTCTTCCTTTTCTAACTGATTCCTTCTACTTACAAAACTAGCAGTAGAGCACCTTGCAAAAGAGTTCGTCCAGAGAAGTACTGCCATCTTACCTATTTCAGCCGCCAAGCAGTAATGTCAGCTTTACTGTGTTCCGATTTTGAAGGGAAAGGGTGCTGGTGAAATTACAGGCACATGGGACTTGTCAACTTACGTCTCACGGGCGCAGTGGCAGTGTCTCTCAGATCTTTGTGATTTAAAACTTTGAGTGGCACTGCAACTGTTATGGACAGGCATGCAGCTTACCATTAGACGCGCATGTTCGTCCCGTCACTTGATATTAACAAAAAGATACATTAGCTCTATATTTCACATTCATTCATCCTCCATGTACCCAAATTACCTCAGCCGAGGACCTCAGCATACCCTTTTCTATTTTTGTCATTACATCCTCTTTTAAACCACCTCTGTGAACGAATAGATCACAGTATTTTTCATTCTGTTACATAACCGCACTTAATAATCAATCCTATTTATCGAGTTCTTAGGTTTTCGCGATTGTTACACATAGGAAATGATAGTTTTCTGGATTTCGCCCACCGCTACTCTAAACACGAGTTTTAAAGACAGTATCGTGAACCAACGAAGAAGAAGAAAGAATATGAAAGATTTATCTTACTGGAGTAGTTCCAATCCTGAAGAAAAACTTCAACGGCTCCAGCTCAACTCCTGGAAGCAACTTGTACTCGTCGTCGGCAGACCAGCTCGCTACAGTCTGTAGATTTTCCTCCGGTTTGTACGTCGAGAGTATGAAGCGCGATCGGAGCAAGAGGGCAGATCTGATTAAAATTAAATTAAAATGACTACACCTGTAGTGCAGACACATATCTTTCTACATAAGTCTTTATGGATACCCCTGAGCCCAGGGAGACTCAGGGGTTATGTGGGGACTCTCTCTCCAGACTGGAGGGCCTACCCCACTAAAACCCCCCCGGGTTTCCCTCTCGCCGGTTGAGTCGGCGCCGTGGGATCAGTGAACATTCACCACGACGCTGCCCGGCCGCCTAGCTTACGCCAGGGCTCCCGCGCCAACGGAGGGGCGAGTCGGTTGTCCTCCGACCCGCCCCTCAGACGAGTGAGGCCGTGCAATGCAGGCTCCGGAGTCCCTGTCCAGAGCCCGCTGGTCTCACTAGGGGATCAGGCGAGCAGCGAACTGCCTTCGCCTTCTCCCCGTACGTCTTTATAGTGACCCCCTCTATAAACCTCTTGGTTATTATGGGAAGGGAACTATAACCTGTGCAAGCAAGCCCGTACAGGGACCATCCTAGTCAGGCCCTGACCACATATCAGCCCGTTTAGGTGGACTTTATCCAGTTCTCTGTAAGGCTAGTGAGCCGTCCCGGGTACACGTCCAGCACCATCCCTGTTTTCCAGATTAGTACTGGAGCTTTACGCTCGCTTCCCGTCGCGCTCTGTCTAACTAACGGTTGCCACCGCCGAGCCGTCGACTCTAAGTCGACTACTAAATCTCCTCATTGGTGGCGGAGCTGTGAGGCGTGCTCACTTGGGCCGGTTGCAAGACTTTGAAGTCTATTTAACCAATCAGGAGGCAGTAGAGCGTTTGAGCAGCGTCATATTAGATTTTTTTTAATACGACGTTTTTGTTTACTCATTTTCAATAATTTTACAGCTTGATCACCATTGATACAGTCTTTTATGAGAGCAAAGATGTTCGGAGATAAGTAGTTCACGAGAAGTTTTACTTTCATCCCAGAAGAAGCACCACCAATTTATTCAGACATAAAATTCTCAACTGTGTGTTACCAGTCTTACGTCAAACAATCTTATTTCAATGTAAGCTTAAAGTAAGCTTATTATAATATTAACTCATATTCGTGTCACGACGAATCTGTCAACCAAGCAATGTATTATTGCAAAAGTTATTGAAAGAAGGAATGATTTCCCAATATTGTCTATTCCTTACTAAAAATAAGAAAGATATAACGCTATATGAACTATATAATATCAGAATATCAGAGTTGGATTGTTTTGCATGCACAACCCGACAAATGCTGAGTAGTGACCATTTTGGATCTCAATGTTTAATATTAAGATTTTCTTTGTGTTACTAGTAGAGACCAAGTAAATATTATTTTCTTTCTTTCTTTCTTTCATAATGCCATCTCTTTCTTTTTTGATGTTCCGAATCGTCCTATCGTAGTGTAATGTTAAAGTGCTTAATATTATTTACATTCAGAGAATTTTTACTGCCATAAAAAGAAAAGTATGTAATAATGAAATCTTTAATAGATTTTTTTTAGAATTACGTTATTTTCAATTAATTTTCCGCATTTTCATGAAGGAAAATAAATAAAACAAGTTGAGTCTTGATTGTCACGTTGTGAATTCGGAATTATAGTCTAGTGTCAACTGTTAGTTTCGCCAAGGAGCGTATAGATGGCGCTGTCATAATTTTGCGAAATAAACATCGCGTATTTTTATTTAACGAGAAATTCTTTCCTATGTGCCATTAAATAAAAAATAAATAAAATATTGAAGAGATATCTGTAAATAAATAAGTTCAACTTAACTTTTAATCGTTACAAATCAATATTAAGACGATAAAACTGAAAATAACATTGTTTCCATTGCATCCGTGGAACTATTTATGATTGCTAAATTTGACATAGGAGTGAGTGAAGTCACAAAGCTGACAATAAAACATCATAGTTTTAACATTACAATAAGCTTACTTTAAGCGCGTTATGGTACGGGAAGTCAAAGTAAGGTTAAAGTAATATTGTTTTAAGAGGCTGTGGTAGGCCCCCAGGTTCAGTCGGTTTCGCATTAAATATCTCGGGGTTTAATATCGCACCGCACGATCAGCCATATTTGAAGTTAAAATTGTCTTCGTTGTTAAATGCGATGAATCCGTTTTGTCGGTCATCATCACAAGATAGTTTTAACACTATTTATTGAGATACAATTTTTTGAGTTAATTAAATTGATACATGAAAGAATAAACCTTTGGAAGAAATAAACCTTTAATTAACTCAAAAGGAACATGGTTAAATTTTAGATAGGAGAATATGACATTGTATGACAACTAGGCATAGACAGATAAAGTATTGCGTTACATTTGTGTAAATAGTTTAAGGTTGAAATAGTGAGTAAAATAAAGAATATTATGCCTGTTTGGTCCGACTCGCGCGCGGATAAGCGCATATTTTTTTTTGAAGGTTATTTTGCAGTTGGCCGCTGATGGCCTTAACTGAGTCACCGGATTAAAGGGCGAGCTGAAGGCTCATAACCCCTAAAATAAACTTAAAGCTAAGTAGCGGGCCTGAGGGCGCCCAAGTGGGCACGGACCTCGGCTCAGGGCGCTACTGGAGACTTCCGCCAGAAGGGCGTGCTGTAGGAGAGAATTTACCAGTGTACGTGCTGAAATGACTCTACGACCTCGCCGACGAGGACGGTTGGTGCGTGCGGGACGGGACTGACTAGCGATCTGGTTGGCCTTCAAAGTGGCGAGAGTGATAGGGTCGTCAGGATCGTTGAGGACTTCCCTTGGCCGACGGGTCCTACGTACGCGGTGGGGTTGTTCCCTGAGGGGGTCGTAAGAGGATGCAGCCACCACGAGGGGGTTGGGGTGGTGAGGAGCAGAGTCGAAGTATTTCCTCGATGCCTGTTTCATGAATTGGGCTATTGTGGGGAGCCGTAAATCTATGTGGAGGTTAGCGTTGCGCAGGTACCACGGGGCACCCGTCGCGTTGCGCATGAATCTATTTTGGAGAGCCTGCAGGCGGTGTATGAGCGCGGGAGTTGCCTGAGCGAACGCGACGCTGACGTACGTCATGATTGGGTGGATGCAGGTCGTGTACAATCTCACCTTATTGCGAAGGGAGAATTTGCTATGCTTGTTGAGAAGGGGATGGAGCCGGCTCATAACAAAGTGGGCGCGATCGCGGACGGTTTTCACGTGTGCTTTGAATGGCAGGATAAGCGCATACGCAGCTAGGGCGACTACTTATACACCTGAAGCGGGGGCAGGGCAGTATAAGTAGGTCGCCCGGCACAAATCGCTTGCGAGCGCACGACTATTTATTTATTTATTTATTTATTTATTAATAGACAAAATGTGTAACATAACAGTTTGCACCATGGCGTTACGAACATTCAGTTAATAACAATTTAAAAAGAAAAAAAACAATTACACAAAACAACAAGAAATAGAACAATAAAATAAACTTAAAATTATCTACTTACTAATTCATTCCTACATCTCTCCAAAACTCTCTTCCATTCCGTCATCAGTCTCTCTATCCCAGTCACAAACACATCACACTGCGGCGATGCTGCGAGCATGGAGTTGAGGAGTGCAGTCGTACGTGGAATAGGCGAGTGTCGGTGCAGTTCAGTGCGAGAGGGCTCGATTGCCAGGAGGGGCACAACACGTCGCCTGTTGCAGTAATCATCAGGGACCCTGAACCTAAGGATCTTTTCCACTAGGCTCACACTGTCAAGACTAAGGCAGTTATGTACCACTTATATAGTTTTTAAGACGTTATGTACAAATTAGCAGTAACAAATGTACAATACAAAAGTATTTGTAATAGATTAATGTGTGAAGGATGAATAAACAGTACAAAGGGGTGAGGTAACTTTTGGCGGGAAAAGGAAGGCTCAGTCACCTATAAAAGGCGCACTGGCGCCAATAGACACACAGTCGAAAAACAGCCTAAGCTCGAGATACATAGAAAAACCCGAAGAAGAGCCAGCAGCCGACCTACCAGACAAAAGCCAGCCTCCAGATCTTCACAGTATATACAATCACACAGTATTGTTATATAGTAATTAGTCTTTTTTTCCATCCTCTAAGGCGTACAGTAAAACATTTTGAAATCAGTAGCGAGTACCATAGACAATACAATTTTGATTCAGAACTGAAAAGAGCACCTTTGTGATATGGTTTACGAAATTATAAGAAAAATACATTTACCTGTCTTGGTCCCAATAGAAAGTTGTGTCGTTATTTATCTCAACATCTTCAGCAAACAATCTCCAAATTCTAGCTCTTGTACCATTAAGTTCCACCGCTGGGGCTTCGCAGTCCAACTGTACCACTACGGGGTCTAATTCGCGTTCCAGCTTGAAATACGAGTCTGTTATGTAGGATAACAGGCTATTGAGGACTAGTTGTTTTCTCTGGAAAGTTATTTTTAAAATACTAAAGCTTGCAGGACTGTATTACTAACATCATTTATAAACAACAACTTTAATTCTGTTACTTTTAATAATTTATCAAATTTTAAGTCCTTTCATACAAAAATAAAAATTTTAAATACATCGCTAACAGTCCGATGCAAAATATAGGACTGAAGAGGGTCGTCGGGGAGGACGCTTGTACGTTTGAACTTTGTACCAAATACAGTTCTAAAAAGTGTCAGATAGTACAACAACAACTTAAAAGTTTATTTTTGGTATTGTACAGTCAACTACCTAGCTGTAGCTAGCTGGCTATACATGAGTGGTCAGGGAAAGCTGTACTATCACTAACAACCCTAGTTGCCTACCTAACAGCCTAGCCCTAACCATACGCTACGGAATATATACTTATATAAATAGTAGGGGAAGCCTGTCACCGTGCGACCTAAGGCAACAGACGGAAAGGGGGAAGGATAAGGGTGCTTTAGGAAATGGTTTTCTCACTGCCAGTCTCACAGACTCACAAGACTGATCAGATAAGCTAACGGCTAAAGGTGTCTTGGCCGCAGTGAGAGGATGCTGTAGTCAGGAGTGCTCCGTTGTCAATAAGACAGCGTTGATGTCTGAATTCAAAGAGGGTTTTATTTACAAAACTTAAGCTATTTATACAAAACGGTATTTATGTGTGTGTGACTATAAACAATATTATTTTTAAATGTATACATAAAGTTAACTACTCTACTCAGCAGCCTAGTTCAGAACGGTCATTGCACTGCTGAGTAGTCTATTGTCATCACTTAGCAAATGTCCGGTCAGGTTGTCTGTTTACGTCGCGTGCACGTGAACAGGTATATTTATATTTTTCCGAATACGAATCCGGCCGGATCGAAGGAATTTTTTGTAAGTATTCGATCTTTGTATTAATAATTAAAAGACTAGTGGAGTAATTTCACTTAAAAAATAATTGAATATCAATTCAATAAAAATTTTAATACAATGAATAGCGACATCTCTAGCCAGGGCTGGTACCTGTAAAGGTATCTAACAGGGTGACGAAATACTTAAGATTTCTCATAGATGGCGCTATGGCTAAAAAGTCGTTGAAAAAACCAAATACAAAGATATGACAACAAACACATAGAAAAATTCTTGAGGTCCGCTGGTTCGTTCCGTGGCTTAGTTGGTATAGCGTCTGCCACGGTAAGCTAGAACACGGTCGATCGAAGGATTTTTTTCTGAGTGTTTGATGTTTGTATTAATAATTATAATTTATACACTTTCAAGTTTTTGTTTTGAGTTTGTGTTCAGTTTTTGTTTGTAACATATTCGAATTTAAATATTTATCTGGTTCAACCTGTCACCCTGTATACTCAACTGGAGTTTACACTTAGAGATTCATAATCCCAAGATCCTTTCTACAGAACATCATCACTATAGTAGAATCGTACGTGAAGCTATTGAAATTAAAAAAAAACACCGTAATTTCAACCGAGAAGACGGTTTTAAGCTTTCATCGTCATGGGATCCAGTTATCATCAAGTACGAAGTATCGCCCGACAAGTCGTCGGATGTCGCGAGTGTTGTGTGTCAGTCTAGTGAGAACCCTAGTGCACAAATAATCAATGGAGATCAAGTGCGGGTAGTTAGAAAAACTGGCACGGCTAGAAGATGCTGACACCTTAGAATAATAACGCATAGAAACCTAGTCCGCACACGCTAAGTGAGGCAAATTGAAGCGCGCCCAATGGGCCTACACGAGCGGGCGGGCCTTCAGTGCTCAAGGTCAACTTGCACCGCGAACAGAATTTTAGCTAAAAATGGCGAAATGTGCGGTAAATGAGTGTAAAAATACGTCAGACAAACATAAAATAGATACTAACATCACATTCCACACGGAAGTAACGCGTTTCAACTTGTATTTTTATATAAATATTCACTAAAACCGAAAATGAACCTACTACTAAAACTAGCCTACATGAATTTGATTTTTGCCTCACTTGTGACAGTTCGTTTGATATGAAACTATCATTCTATGCGTTATTATTCTAAGGCTGACACCCGCTTCTTCAGGTCCTTCGAGACCATAGACGTTGTGATACGTTCGAAACGTCGAGGTAATTCAAATGTTTTATACATGATTAAGTCCCGAATTAAAAATCAAACAAAGCGTATAAAATACGCCGTGTACTAAGCTTTTATGTCGGAAATAAATGATACTACACCTGCATATCACTGGGACAACTACACTCCTCCCTTTGCCCGGTCAATTTACAACACTCGCTCTGGTCAATATATAATATCATTGTAGGTATAATCATGTCTGAAGTGTCGACTGTACTTGGGTAGTCCGTGAAGACCAGGTTCCAGCGGTAGTCTCGGCGGACAAGCTTTTCCTTTACAGCCTGAAGAGAATAAGTTGGGTGTTAATTAGGGTTTTTATTCCGGGAATTGTCGAAAATTTCTAGTCTCATTATTCATTCTAGGCGTTATTCCGCCATTTGTACTGTTTTGTGTGCAATTAAGTTTGAATAAATAAAATAATTTTTTTGGTATTTTCGAGAGATTTCGTCAAAAATTACAGTAGCCTCGCTACTCCATGTCCATGTAACACGATTCCACGTATTATCAAATATTTTAAAGTAATTTACTATATTTTGCACTCACTTTTACGTGCAGAATAATTAACCTGTAAAATAAAGTATACTAGTATATTGTGTGCTTAATAAGGGCTGTGTTTAATTGTCGCCAAAGCGCCACTTGTTAAGGCAAGTGTTTTTTCTTTTGCTCTGGCCACAGACCACATAAATTTTGACTTTAAGACAATTTTCGCGCATAGCCACTGTATTGCACTGGAAGCATTAGCGGGTTTTTGCGTAGTGACTCTATTGCGCGTGATACAGTAAACTTGCGCGCGTGTCAAGATGTTGGAAGGAAAAGGGAAAGACCGCGCGATTGCGCTTGCGATTTGCGATTCATCAGTCGCGCTATCCGTCATCCTGCGCTATTAGCCTTTACACAGACGGTCTTTACGTTGTAACAAAAACAAATTAGCTTATAAAATTTCAAACAGGTAATCGTGCAAATTGCGTGTGCAGACTTTCCCGTGAGCAATCCTGTACGCTCCTTCGGTCATTCTTGTACGCTTGACCATTTTTGTTGAATAAATTAAACGCCAAATTGGCCATTATCCGCTCACGCGATACATGCAGCCGTAGACGCATACCACACCTAGAGGTGCCGGTGATGATTTTATTCCGATTTATCGGATATCGAAGTTATAACAGGTAAAAGAATTAATATTAGTTGCTATTTCGGTAACTACTCTAGCAAACCATAAAGTTTTTAATGCCTGGGTCTGTCATTTAAAAAAATAAACAACTTCACAAATACGTCACGACAATCGTGAGTGTTATTGTTTGGGCTGGTGATATCGGTGTTTATTTATTGAAAATATACCGTAAGGAGCGTTTTTTAAGTTTACCCTGAATATAAATGTTTATAAACTATATTTTAAGGAGTAATTTCATGGTAAACGTTAGAGCCACTCAAACGGAATATTATCATATTTATCCAAGTACACCAAAAATTTCATTAGTGCTTTTTAAGTGCAGGATTTGCGGTGTACTACTGCATTTTATTTGAGATATTTTTGTTGGTAGTACGGAGGGTATTTATTTAGCAATGCAGAATAATAATTTTTATTTATAAAAACTTGTATTTTAACTGAATGCTTTTCTAATTTGCGAAACCAAATAGCCGCCATTTTGCGGTAGGGGGAGCGCATCGCGTGAGCGGTTATATTAGTTTTTGTTACATAGAGGTTAAGGATATATTCTGCAAGAAATCCTTCAAAATGTGTCCTATGAAGATAGAGAGAATTTATTAGTTATTCCAGAATAAATGTTATCTAATAAAAGAAGCGAGTCCGGGAAGTAAGACTGAGGATTGCTAGTTGGAATGTAGGAACAATGACTGAAAGAGGAAGGGACTTAGCGGATGTTCTAGAAAGGAGACGAATAAACGTAGCGTGTTTGCAAGAGACCAAGTAATAATAATAATAATAATAACGCACACACTCAACACAGCCCCGCACTAGGGAAACCCTGTGTCGCAGGTGCCATGGACACACACATAGACAAACACAAATTACACCCAAACTCACGAGAGAAATAAATGTAAGCCATACAAAAATTTCTCCCGGCCCGGGAATCTAACCTAGGAGCTCTACGTGGCAGTCCGGCATGGTAACCGTTCGGTCACGGAGGCACACAGCAAGTGGAAGAAAGGTGTGAGTATAAAAATGACGACTGATAGGGGAGAGTGGAAGAAAAACACATGTTGCGCCGACCCCACCTAGCGTGGGATAAGGGCAGGAAGAAGAAGAATGTAGTCTAATTTAAGCGTACGGTATAATTATGATTTTCATTTTATTGTATAATTAGTACTTTTTACCTGAAATACAGGATTCTCCTAGTTTGTGTTACATTTTACATTGATTCGCATAATTAAGTAGTCTTTAGTTATTCCTTTGTTACAATAAGTTATTCTAAACCGAAGGGCCCTGCCGTTTCAACTGCGACGGATATTTTTTTATTATTTTGGTCAGTCAACAATTGTTACACCAATAAAATAACAGAAAAACATACATGCAAAAAAAAACATAAAACTGCACAATAAATTATGGCCGAGTAAAAAGAAACTTACAAAAAGAAAAGTGTAAAAATTAATTTAATCGTACAAATCTCTTGCAAAAACAAATAATGTTAACATCTTAAGACTAAGCATAAAACCAAAAAAAGAAATTAGGTGACAGAGTTTTAGGAAGGTGACGACATTTCGCGCTTGGTTCTTATTGCAGAGAAGTAGTGGAAATCAATCATTGCGTTGTGATCATTGTACAACTGGCAAAGCCTAGCAATAGGAGAATTTGCGCCCAAGACGTTACGAATTCGCATAATTGACTCCAAGGCATAATATACGTGCTTTAGTTTACAGCGAAGATTGTCTTAAGCATGAAACATGTCGGGTCGGGATCGCGGCGGGTATAATTCCGCGTATTCATAAGGACGACAACACACCGAGCGCGGACGCGACGGGCGTACGCAACGGTCTAAATGAGGTATAATGAAATAAAAATGGCCGGCTTACTCTCCGATAAGTATCCATAACAAATCCAGTCTCCCCAACAATAACATAAAAGCTGGGTTCAGGCCTCATGCTTTTCAAAGCGCGGGCCGAGTCCCTCGTGAGGCCCGCGTGAACCCACACTCGGACGTTGGAGTGGCCCAGCAGGGTGTATAAGGTGCGGTCTACATCTGTAATAATATAATTTATTCAATATAGATTGCACGCTCCATGGTCACGGGTTGACTACTCCAGTGCAACCGTTCCGAAATATCGGGAAAATAAAAAGAAGTCATACCGTGGTAAGAAACCTGATACTAGTGATAGTAATTTAGTCATTACTTATTGTATAGGTTCCCAATAAAAAAATTTCAACCACCAAAAATAATTGAAAACACGTTTTTTTATATTAACTTAGCACAAAATGGACAAGAAAAAAATTATGTATATGTAGTGTAGCTTATATAAAATAATACACGTTTTAGTTTCAAATATTGGAAATTTTTCCGGAAAATTTCCCGAAAAATTTGAAAAATATAATTTCGAAGGCTCATATTATGTTTTACGTTTAGAAATATCTTTTCAAGTTTTGTTTAGCGTGCATTATAATATAAACTTGTGTGACTAAAAACCACATAAAGAAAAATGAGATTTAAAATGATTTCACAACAGCGAAAAAAAAACGTTTTTATTCGCTCCATCGTTTTCGTTCAGTAACTTCAACTTTTGACAGGTGTTATCAAAAAAAGTCAAATGTGGAAAGTTAAAGGAAAAAATATCCGGAAAATATTTGGTTCCTCGAAAAAATAAGTTTTTTTTTTCAAAATGGAAATATTTCCAAGACACAACACTAACAACGACTTACCGCTCTCGCTCTCCAAAATGTACGCGGCATCTGTGGCATTTCGAGTCTCGAGGTAGTCGTCCAGAGCTTTGATTAGTTGCTGCGATGAAAGTGACGTGTGAAGGATGGGTACACCTTGGAAGTATTTAAATTACAATTGTTACTTTTATCAGAAAAAAAAGATAATAGTGACCCTTATGAGTTTTTAACCGACTTCAAAAAAGGAGGAGGTTCTCAATTCGACTGTATGTTTTTTTGTTTTTTTTTGTATGTAAGTTATGCGATAACTCCAATATTTGTAAACCGATTTTCATAATTCTTTTTTGTTGGAAAGGGGGGGAATTCCATAGTGATCCCATTTCATTTTGAAGAAAATCATCCACCTCGAAGGGTGGCTGTTCACGCATGAAGATTCATTTTTATAAATAGCACCTAACTTTAATTTAGGAGCAATTATTTTAATGGTTGATTTTGCTATTTCTCCAATTCAAGGCGTTTTTCTTTCAATATACTTTGAGTAGTGAGAACCGATTTTTTATTCTCCAGGGTCAAGTCCTGTATAGTGGCGAATTTAAGGATATATCAATAAAACTTAGCAAATAGACGTAATTCCACGTACTTTTGAGGTCGGTTTTTTTAGTACTCTGTACTGAGATTATTGTAATATTGCACTGTTGATACAATAGTATCATCTTCACTGACTACATACTTTTTTTACTCGGTCGCTATTATAATAATTAAATTATTTATTTACTATTTAATATATTAATAATTAAATTAAATATAATAAACATTGTTATGTTGTAAATCAGATAAACTTTATTTTAAAATTTGTGTTTAAGTTGTTGATATTGATAGTTATATAATGCATTTATTTTTTTTTACTTATAGATATGTTTAAGTAGTTGACGTTGATAATTATGTGATACATTTAAATTTTTTAAGTCTGTATTTAGCTTGTTGACATTTTGAAATCTTTTGTATTTTAATTGATTGAGCTTAATGACTAATTATAATCTTAAAACATTGTACACCCGACATGGGTATGAACTATTGTACTCAAACTACATGTAATATCTTTTTATAAGATATATTTATAATTTATAATATAATAAATGATTCTGATTCTAGTATTAACTCAAAAAGTGTATTTTTTTAGTATCGGTAAAGAACGAATTACTCACTTCTCTTCAAAGATTATTAAAATGTATGTACAGGTTAAAGTTTATTGCGGATATCTAAACAATTTCCTACATTGCAAGTATATTGGGTCAAGGAAAAAGTACGGACGTTTTTTCATTAACTTTTTAACACATTTTTCTCATATTGTTTTTAAACTTTATTAAACCATATATATGCTGTTTTGATCGATCACCTTTTGTCATTTTTCTGGTAAAACAATTATGACATAAGTGTAAGACTTCTGTGATTTCTGGGCGGAAAACTGAACCAAGTGATTTTCACAGGCCTCTTTTGAAGTCAGCTTCACACCGTTAAGAGAGTTCTGTAGAGAGCGAAACAAATGGTAGTGGGACGGGGCAAGGTCCGACCTGTAAGATGGATGCATCAAAACTTCCTAACCAAGCTCTGTCAATTTTTGCCAAAGTATCAAAGATGTGTGTGGTTCGGCATTGTTTTGATGGAAAATAACACCTTTCGAGTTGGTCAACTCTGGCCGCTTTACTTCAATTGCGCACGTTGACAGTAGAGAGTGGAAGCTATGGTCTGACCAGGTTGAGAAGCTCATAATGCACGATCCCCTTCAAGTGCCACAAAACTAATGGTTTGTGTTACCTTGCGTGCCGTCAATCCGGGTTTTGTCACCGTTTGTGCAGCTTCTTCCAGGTTGGAGAAGTTTTTTTTGCACATTATTGTCATGTGTCACCCACTTTTCATTACCCGTTATCAATCTCTTCAAAAATGGCTCCGTTTCGTTTCAGCTGCGTTTCGCAGATGTTAATATGTTTCACTGTTAATTCATGAGGTACCAAAATATCGAGCTACTTTTTGGTATCCACCTTTATGCAAATGTTGTCAAACTGCAGCGATGTCATAACTTTTTCAATAATTGGTTGACAAGAGCACGGCGCGTCTTTAGCGCAGAAATGTGCAGAACGAAAACGAGCAAACCATTTGCGAGCTACTGATTTTGATAAAACATCGTCACTATAAACAGCACTTTTTTCACAAGTCTACGAAGCATTGCCGATTTGATCAAAGTAATATTGTACACTATAGCGATTTTTTCTGAATATTAGCTCATTTTTAAAGCGCTATTACCTTTGCGCTGAATTGACAAATGTCACTATTATTGACTTGGAATAATCTACGGATACTCACTTTTTAAACGCTGTATAATATAACTTGATAGGGTCAGGGGTCAGTACTAATATTGTTATACAATTCTAAAGTCAACTATTGGTAAAAACTAGATTTGTTCAGAACTAGCTCACAAAAAGTTTGTCTCATTTTGAGTTAAGTAGATTTTTTAATTGTTTCTTACAATATTCTAACGATGGTTTTATTGACGTGAAGAGAATTAAATTCTACGTTCAGCAATAGTATAATCTTGAATTTGGCAAATTTTGAGTTACAACACTATTGTAATAATAGTGAGATTACCCTGCCACATTGAGACGCGCGGTGGCGTAATAAATGCAGGAAGATGTAAGTACTTCAGTCACATCATGAGGAATTTAACTTTTTAATTACTAAGCAAATTTTGGTATTATGATTATTGGTGAAAAAATAAAATACGCGTTTTTTTTCTATTTAGTAATTGAGTAACAAAATATTGAACAATTACTCCAATAAACATTTACGCCACCAAAATTTTTGGATATGTTCTGCTTTTATTTTGTTTCTATTTTTTTTTCACAAACTTCGTGTTTTTCTTTTTTTTTCGAATTTTGTTTCCTGTTTCTTTATTTTTTTTTCACAAAAGTTGAGCATAATATTAGTAAATAAAATATGGCTTGTCACATAAATAACAGCAAAAGATCAAAAAATAAAATTGGCATAGTGTTCATCAAACTTATCTAAAAAATGTCAATGTTTGCATATATTTTTCTTTATGAACAATTCAATTCGGATATTTTTTGTATACAAATGGAGTCTTTGAATGTTACCCTAATGCATAGAAAAAAATTGTTGGTGATTAAAAATTAATGGCAGTGGCGTAATTTATAGAAAACCCTTTACCAGTATTGGAAGCCAGTTGTTCAGCGACCTCCCAAGGACTCCAGGATAAGTCAATTATCATTGATACTCCTTGAGACACCAGCTGGCATACTACAACAAACACGGAAGAAAACAATTGTAATTTTTTTTATAAAAAAGACCGACTTCAAAAGTACGTGGCATTACATCTATTTACCAAGTTTTATTCAAATCAGTTACCGGAAAGTGCACGAAACAGGATTCATCCCCTAGTATGCTACCCTTAGAGGTGGAATATTTTCTTCAAATTTAAATGGGACCCATACTACCTCAGTATGGGTCCCATTTAAATTTGACCCTTTTTCCAACAAAAAAAGAATCTTCAAAATCGGTTTACAGAATGTCGGAGTTATCGCGTAATATACACATACAAAACATAATATCAGTACAGAGTACTAAAAAAAAACCGACCTCAAAAGTACGTGGAATTACGTCTATTTGCTAAGTTTCACTGAAATGTCCCCTAGTTCGCCACTATACAGGACTTGATACTGGAGATAATAAAAATAGGTAGTCACTACGACACTACTCAAAGTATATCGAGGGAAAAACGCCTTGAATTGGAGAAATAGCAAAATCAACTAAATAATTGCTAAAAGCAATTGCTCCTAAATTAAAGTTAGGCGCTATTTATAAAAATGAATCTTCATGCGTGAACAGCCACCCTTAGAGGTGTATGATTTCATTTAAAATAGAATGGGACCACTATCGAAGTACCACCTTTCCAACAAAAAAAGAATCATGAAAATCGGTTCACAAATACCGGAGTTATAGCGTAACATACATACAAAAAAAAAACAAAAAAAAAGAACATACAGTCGAATTGAGAACCTCCTCCTTTTTTGAAGTCGGTTAAAAATACAGTCGAATAAGAACCTCCTTTTAAAAAGATTACTATCAGAAACGCTGTCGCCAAAACTCAGAGTAAAGATTTCAAAGCTTTCGTAGTTATTCATTGCCTAAATGTTCACTGTTTAATTACAGGTTTCTACCACGATATGACTTCTTACTTTCCCAATATTTCGGAACGCGGTTACACCTTAGAGCTTAGGTTCCTCTTTGGTTTACTTAGGCAAGATAAAAAAATTGCTTCCTTTCTCCGCAGGAATTTGCATATTGTGTCCATTCTTTATAATATTTTACATAACCCTGTGTCTCCCGGGTACCTGAACGAGCGTTTCAGCTTTCTTAGGTCAGGATAAACCCTGTCGCTCTCTTGTTAGGTCCCAGTTATCTTTTCCGAGCTTCAATATCGGTTTCTATTCTCATTCCTTCGCTGTTCATGCGGTCACTTTGGAATGCATTTCCTATTACTGTTCACGACAGTAAATCGTTAGCTATTTTTAAAGTGAGAGAGAGCATTATTTATCTACTATTCCATCCATATCTTAGGTATTATATAATAAAACAAGTATTTATGTAAGTATTTATATAATTTAAAACTATATATATTATATTATTTTTATATTACATTTTTTTTGTTTTGTTGCGCTCGTTCTTTTAGTTATAGTGTCCCTTATTTAGGTCTGCAGGAAGAAATTTCTGTTAGAAATAAGCAGAACCTTTTGTTTTCCTTGTAAATGGTGACTTGTTGTATTTTTCCTATACAATTCACTATTAAATAAATAAATAATTGAAAACACGTATTTTTATATCACAAAAAATCACGAGGACAAAGATTATATACAATGTAGGTGCTATGTAGCATAGTTTATCAAGAGTTAGAAGTTACCACCAACAGCGCCAAGACCCATAAACAATAAGGAATTCTAGATGCACATAACACCATACGAAGATAACATCTGATGCTAACTAGAACTCGATAATGGAACGTTATCTTGGGACACAATAAATAACCCTAAAAGAATTGTTTTTGCATCAAAACAGAGCACATTCCGGGACAGCATTTTTATCTTAATGGCATTATGGCGTCAGACGAGATTCTAAAACATTCTCGAGGATCTACGTAACGACGCGACCACATCCTTACTGGTTGGTATAATCGCACACCGGCGGCAACGTGGCAGGTCACATAACTATAGATAATACAGGTTTTTGTAGAGCAGTAGAGCTCCTTGAGAAAAAGTTCGTCCAGGGAAATACTGCCACCTTACCTATTTCTGCCGCCAAGCAATAATGTCAGCATTACTGCGTTCCGGTTTTGAAGGGTAAGGGTGCTGGGCGGTAAGGATCACATTGGGAAATTATGCTTTAATTAAAAGATGGACAAGGTTACAGGTTTCATTCAATTCAATTCAATTCAATAATTTATTGCAAAACCATAATGTACATAATAAGATGTTACAAATGTAGTGAGACCAGTATTATGGGCCCTGTCGGGCACGCAACATAGGAGCTAGGAGAGAGGAAGCGCAATTTTATAGTAGTGTTTTATATACAGTAAGTATTCTAATCTTATTTATCATAGGTACTATATACTATATTATATTGTTATAAAATTTAATTTAAAAACAACCTTAACATTTATCATCATTTTGCGTGGCCAATGAATGTATTATCTATTAAATATTCGTTAATAGTGTAATAACAGTTTTCGGATAGGAATAGTGTTAATTTTTTTATGAAAATGTTGTCATTGTTTCATGGTCACGGGTTCACTGTCATAATGTTATATACTATCATTGACTTACAAATAAATGGACGACGGGTCTAATACAAAAACCACGAAAAAATGTCCCAAGTCAACCTATTTAAACGTAGTGACATGTAAAGGAATATGAAAAAGCTAAAACGTTGAATTTAAATTGTAATGTCATCGCAGTACTGTCTAATTTTGCTCGCTTCGCTGTCAGTCGAACAAACGAAGACTGAAGCCTGAATGACGCTCTGTATACGATTTTAACGTCCTATAAGTTCGGACACTTTTTAGCGCGGACCCGACGTCCATATAATTGTAAGTCAATGTATACTATGAAATCTTGATAGTGATTGGTCGTAGATGTAACAAATTCTGGACTATTGACATAATTTGAACTTTACCCAGTTGGCATATCGTTGATAGTTCAATACCTATTATAGTAGTAGGTAAGCAATTTCGATTTAAAATCAAAATGGCGGTTTCTGATTTTTGTAATTTCATTTAATGTGCTGCCATCTAGCGGTCAACAGCAGTAAGTTGAACGATCAACGCTTACGAGTAACGTGGAAAATTCGTCATGTTTAATTTTTAATTAGTTCTCCAAAAAAATTATACGATTTACTTTCGTTTTTTTAACAATAATATCTATTTCCTATTTGGTTTATTAACTACTTGAAAAAAGGAGAAGGTTCTCAATTCGACTGCAGTTATGTTTTTTTTGTGTTATGTTACGCGGCTCTCGGCAAACTCAGCATTGGTGAACCGATTTTGATGATTTTTTTTTTGTTGGAAATAGGATACCTCAGTAGTGGTGCCATTTAAATTTAAAGAAAATATTCCACCTCTAAGGGTAGCAAACTAGGGGATGAATCCAGTTTCGCGTACTTTCCAGCACCCGATTTCAATAAAACGTGGCAAATAGATGTAATACCGCGTACTTTTGAGTTCGGTTTTTTAACAGATCTGTTTCAACAGAAACAAATTATTTAAATAATAATAATAATAACGCTCACACTCAACATAGCCCCGCACTAGGGAAACCCTGTGTCGCGGGTGCCATGGACACACACATAGACAACCACAAATTACACCCAAACTAACGAGAGAAATAAATGTAGGCCATACAAATATTTCTCCCGGCCCGGGAATCGAACCTGGGACCTCTGCGTGGCAGTCCGGCATGGTAACCGTTCGGCCACGGAGGCAGTTATTATAGTTTTATAGTTAAAATGCGTATGCTTTATTCTAAGGTGACCACAAAGCGTTGAACAGTGTTTATTGAAAATTACACCTGTTTAAAAACAAAGTAAGTTTTAAAACTACCCACATTTCCTCTGAGCGTCATCCTGGTTCTCTCTGTCGAGTACAAGCAAGGCGTCACCAGCGCGCACATCGGGTCTCATCTCCTCAGCTACCTTCAAAGCTCGGGGTATTGCCTGCGCAAGATCCAGTTCGTGTGATTCGATGATGAAAACTGTAAGGGATTTGATTCAATAGACTTAAATAGTTTTTTTTTATAATATGTAGTGACGGAACGAATGAGTCGTGCCACTGATGGTAAGCTACACGCCTGTTCACAACAGTTGCAGTGCCACTCAGAGCTTTAAATCGCAAAGATCTGAGGGCCACTACCTCTGCGCCCGTCACCCTGAGACATAAGTTGACAAGTCTTAGTACCCTTCTAAACCTGAACGCAGTAATGCTGACATTACAGTTTGGCGGTAGAAATAGTTACCTATACGTAGTAAGTACTGCCTAACCTTACCTATTTCTGATGCCAAATAACTCCAAACTACAGGCACGTGAGACTTATTAACTGTCCCAGTGGCCGAACGGTTACCGTGCTGGTCTGCCACGCAGAGGTCCCGGGTAATAAATTCTCAAAACACTTTTACATAGGCCTTAGTTTGAATAACGAAATTATTCTCCTAACGTACTTATGCTCTTTTCGCTATTTAATCGCATCAGACTCTGTTCTTCGGATGAGTCGAAATTCTGGAGTGTTAATAAATTTTAAACTTTAACCCAGACGCTATATCGTTGAAAGTTCAATTTATTGCAGGTTACGACGTTCTGATTTTATATTGAACGATTAACATCTGAATAATTTCGATAAATAGAAACTTTAAAATTCATTAAAATAACACTTCCCGATGGTATGAAACACGACCATGGGTAATTTTTTTGGTGCCGCTATCATTATTGCACTCTAGAACAGCACAATAAGGCATTTTTCTAGGATTTTAGAGAATTTGCATTAAGAATGACACAACCATACCATATAAAGCGATAATCTCAGTACAGAGTACTAAAAAAACCGACCTCAAAAGCACGTGGAATTACGTCTATTTGCTAAATTTCATTGAAATATCCCCTAGTTCGCCACTATACAGGACTTAATACTGGAGATAATAAAAATAGGTTCTCACTACGACTAAGTATACTACTCAAAGTATATCGAGAGAAAAACGCCTTGAATTGGAGAAATAGCAAAATCAACTTAATAATTGCTAAAAGTAATTGCTCCTAAATTAAAGTTAGGCGCTATTTATAAAAATGAATCTTCATGCGTGAACAGCCACCCTTTGAGGTTTCCAACAAAAAAAGAATCATGAAAATCGGTTCACAAATACCGGAGTTATCGCGTAACATACATACAAAAAAAAAAGAACATACAGTCGAATTGAGAACCTCCTCCTTTTTTGAAGTCGGTTAAAAATGGAAGATTGAGCTCTGATAGGTCTTTGGAGACCTATAGTTGGCACGCGTCAGATGCTAACTAACCACTTCTACTGCATTGATTGTTCTGTGACGGAGAACATGTATTGCGGGCGATATGGACACACACATAGACAACTAAAAATTACACCCTAACTTACGAGAGAAAAAAATGTAGGCTATACAAATATTTCTTCCGGCCCGGAACCTCTGCTTGGCAGCCCAGCATGGTAACTGTTCGGTGACGGAGGCAGTTAAAATATTCAAAGTCATTTACTTTAAACTCTTAATCTTAAACAGATTTAACTGAGTATTCCAAGTCCTCTTGATAATAATCTATCTACTATAACAAAGTATCAGACCGGAATGTTATATCAAAACAGATAGAGTAATAAATACCTTGTTTTATACTTACTGAATTTCAAACTCAACTCCGAAACCACACATGTGAAATTGATAGCAAATATCAACAAAAACAAATTCAAAACATCCATTATTATTAAAAATTACAACTTCGGCAGCTGTTGCAAGTTTTCAATTTGTTTAATAAAATCGCTGAAATATATTCTTGCAATAAATAAGGAATGAAAAGTGTTAAAAATATGTAAAACAATATTCTTAATTTATTAAACATTACTTTTTAGGCTGTATACATTATTCATTGCCTTTTTCGTATTATTTTAAACCGACAAAATGGCGCTATGTCAAGAAAAGGCGGTAATCTTTTCAGTAATGAAAAGACAAGTATAGAAAATGGCCTACAGAATCGTATTATTATATAAATTATTGTTACGTAGGCTTGTTTATCGACTTAAATATTTAACAGTAAGACAAACAATGGTTAGGAAAGCTTACCTTGATTATTATAGACGTACATTCCGTGTTTCTTTCGGATAGTTGCGAAGAAAAATGTATTTTTTTCGTACGCCACTAAATTATTATTATTTATTTATTGAGCATTGGTTAGAGAGTCATCAGTTTAAACGGGTAATAAATAATTAAAGAACTCTAAACGGAATAAAACTTAACTAAAAATGAATTTGTGTAAAAAATTTCAACTACAAAAACGCGCCATTTTATTTATAGCCTCTTCGTACACCAGTAAACATTAGTTTGGAAGTTGTAAAATATTCTTCATTGATGGAAAGGAGTTAATGTTGATAGTTTTTAAATATAGGAAAGAGATTCAAGAATATTGTTAAACAAAATATATTAATTTCCCTAAAGAAACTGCAGTTTACGTTACGTGGCTTATAGAAAATGCAATCCAGTTGAACGAGGACACGCTACATGTATGATATGAATTATGCCTAATAAAATCATCAATCTTGTTCAGTTGGTAGGGAGGTATTAGAGTCAGAAACAGTGCTTTTAATTTTAGTCATTTCACCGATGTTTCAAAACGGGAAAGTAAATGTATAGACGCTGTATGAGAGTTACTTACATTGAACATAACAGAAGAAGCTACAAATATCGAGAAGTAAAACGTTATTGCTTTGAAAGCAACGTTTTGCAAAGGAAAGAATTATCTTATTATAGTATAATCTTATTGTTTTTTGTTTTCTTTTTTTTACATATTTACTTATGTATGTGCACCCATATGTATATATTTATGTGTACCTATGTGTATTGATGCTATTTATTATGACTCATTATAATACTTATGTAAGTAACAGTATTTTATTTTATTTATGTACTTTATTATATTTCTATAAGTCCACCTTTGGTCACCTTCTGTTACAATATTTCTGTTGTATTTATTTGTTTCACTAAAGAATATATATAAAATCATAATTTCGTAATTTTTATGACATTTTGTCTTTACTTTAATTGAAAGAATAAAGCTGGTTTTAATTTCGTTTTCTTTTTTCAGTAGGTAAAAAAAACAAGAGATACTTAATTTTGAGTCAGAAATGAAACTTTTTTGGTTCTAAATAGCACATATTTGCTTTTTTAAACAAACCAACGTTCCGAGCCATTTTTATAAAAAAAATATGTGCACGTTTGACCTCTATCTCACCTGATGAATGAAAGTGACGATGAGGTCAACGATGAAGCATACATATCTAGATAGTGCCTATTTAATCTCGCCTTGAAAAGCCCCAAGTACTTTTTATGATACGCATCACACCTGTCCGTAACTGTTGTAGTGCCACACAGCTTTAAAACGGAAATATGTGAGTGGCACTGCCACTGCCCTCGTCACCCTGAGACATAAGTTGATAAATCCCATGGGCCTGTAATTTCAACAGCACCCTTACCCTTCAAAACCGGAACGCAGTAATGCTCACATTACTGCTTGGCGGCAGAAATAGGTAAGGTGGCAGTACTACCCTGGACGAACTCTTCAGCATTCAGGGAATAAGTCAACAGACAACGAATTCCACTGCATAGCCGTACGCTATATAAATGTGGAAGCCCACCGCGTAGTTTGAATCCTTGCAATATCCACAACATAGGGGTAGAACCCCAGCCTACGTCTAGTACCCCGATGATGTAAGTGAGAAGGCGTAATTAAATCAAGCAACTTTATCGCACACTCTTCGTAACATAGCCTGTAGAATAATGATAAGCTAGGTCAAACTAGGTCAAGCTAGGTCACGTCTGACTTAACACTTTTCTCATCGCAAGTACGCGTTTTAAATATTTATTCATTTATGCATGCACGCCATTAGAAGTGATTTTGTAAGACAAACAAAATGTGGGAACACTAACAGATGATTGCGTGACCACGATGAAGGGGTAAATATATATATAGGATTAAACCAACTTTAAACAAAGGCAGTCGAGGATGACAAAGTAAATATTTTATACCCTTGCTACGTAGCAGATTTAAACGAATTATTTGAAACTTGAGATTTTAAGATCTTGATATGTTAAGAAACACGTTAAGGGCTTCTTCATCCTTTAAGTGAAGATCGGAGTTCTTGGACGAAAAAGTAACGAGTGAGATAGAGAAGAAACTACCAATTTCAATTTATGGTGGTGTGATAACTATGGAACACACTGAACCTGCTGCCATCTATTGAATTGTTTCTGTAACTAGCTTTTAGATCTGGTTACGGTTTGCAGATGGCAGCACTTGTTCAATAACAAATAGTCACTTTCCGAATTTATTGTAT